TTGCTCCCCTCCACGCTCTCTCCTGCCTCTCCCATCTCATCTCACTCTACTCCCCTCCACGCACTCTCCTACCTCTCCCCTCTCATCTCACTCTACTCCCCTCCACTTACTCTCCTGCCTCTCCCCTCTCATCTCACTCTGCTCCCCTCCACGCACTCTCCTGCCTCTCCCGTCTCATCTCACTCTGCTCCCCTCCACGCACTCTCCTGCCTCTCCCCTCTCATCTCACTCTGCTCCCCTCCACGCACTCTCTTGCCTCTCCCCTCTCATCTCACTCTACTATTGTATGCCGGGTGTGTAGGCATACATGCCTACAAAATGATTTTTTTGTGGGTGGGGGAGGGTGGTCAACAATTGTTGGAACCCTGTTGGGTCAACTTTTTGTTGGATCAACTTTTTACCCCCACATCTGGGAGAAGGGTGGGGGGGGGCGTCCACTCTCTCTAACTTTTTGATTCAGGCCTTCTTGTCATTTAGTTGACGGACAAATGGACAAACGGAATGCCGGGCTTCTATGATAGATAACACCCGGCGTAGAATCAGCCGGCGTACATACACCGAGCATCGCGGCGTTTAAGACCGCTGAGTGTAGTCCGCTGAAGTGTGAACAGCAGTTTGGCAATTTGATAGGGGAGGCAGAGGAAGAGAGCCCTGGTTAAGGGCAATGTGTCATGCCCCAAGTGAGGCATGTTTTGGCAACTGTTCGTGACAAGATAGGCGTACTGGTATCAGTTTGAGCATTGGCAGGGCTTAAGTGGAGGATGATCGGAACACAGCAATGGAATTGCTGAGATGTTGCGAGATGGTAACCACCACCTCGCCTGGTTTACGGGAGGTCGTGGGTTCAATCCCGACCCTAATGCCTGCTGTATGTTTGGAGTTTGCTTGTCTCTCTCACCGTGGTTGCGTGGATTTTTCTCCGGGTCCTCCGTTTTTTTTTCACTCCACATACGTTTCGAGCATATGCCCGCTATACATTTCCACGTGATAAGCCACTTTTGTTGGGCTATCATTTGTGGCCCGGTTGCTTCTGAAAAGGAGCTGTATTGCTCAGTTGGCCTTACCTGGCAAATGAAAACATAGTTTAGTCTTAGTTTTAATTTCAACATATCTTGCATTTTTTCACAACACATGAAACCCACCCACGTGGTTACGTGCCCCTCCGTGCCGAGACAACCGGGAAGAAAAAGCACGCACACGCATTCTGCAACGCTTCCCCGACACGCGGACGTGATTTTATTTGCGATGATTACGTCACGCCGCCCGACGCGATGACGTCACGCGTAGCGGCCTCATCGGGACAGGAAGTGCGCGTTACCATTTTTGGCCCCTGGGTTTTTTTTCTTGGGAATCCTTTAATCGCTGGGTCTCGCCCTTTAAATCAATCATGCAGCGGGTGTTAGGAGATGTTAACTCCCTCGCCCTGGTATGCAAGAGGTCGTGGGTTCAATCCCGACCCTGACGCCTGCTGCTGTATATTTGGAGTTTGCATGTCTCTCTCTCTCATCATCATGATCACGGTGGCTAGGAGATGTTAACTACCTCGCCTGGTATGCAAGAGGTCGTGGGTTCGATCCCGACCCTGACGCCTGCTGCTGTATATTTGAAGTTTGCGTCTCTCTCTCTCATCATGATCACGGTGGCTTGGAGATGTTAACTACCTCGCTTGGTATACAGGAGGTCGTGGGTTTGATCCCGACCGTGACGCCTGCTGCTGTATATTTGGAGTTTGCGTGTCTCTCTCTCGTCATCATGATCACGGTGGCTAGGAGATGTTAACTACCTCGCCTGGTATGCAAGAGGTCGTGGGTTCGATCCCGACCCTGACGCCTGCTGCTGTATATTTGGAGTTTGCGTGTCTCTCTCTCATCATCATGATCACGGTGGCTAGATGTTAACTACCTCGCCTGGTATGCAAGAGGTCGTGGGTTCGATCCCGACCCTGACGCCTGCTGCTGTATATTTGGAGTTTGCGTCTCTCTCTCTCATCATGATCACGGTGGCTTGGAGATGTTAACCACCTCGCCTGGTATACAGGAGGTCGTGGGTTCGATCCCCAGCCTGACGCCTGCTGCTGTATATTTGGAGTTTGCGTGTCTCTCTCTCATCATGATCACGGTGGCTAGGAGATGTTAACTACCTCGCCTGGTGTACAAGAGGTCGTGGGTTCGATCCCCAGCATGACGACTGCTGCTGTACATTTGGAGTTTGCGTGTCTCTCTCTCTCTCCCCGTGGTCGCGTGGTCTTTTTTCTGATTCCTACGGATTTTTTCCTCCATTTAGAAACGACATCACCCGTTCAGAGTATTTGGCTGTGATACATTTCCAGGTGATGATGAGCCGCTTCGTTGAGCTATCCTTTGTGGCCAATTCGCTTATGAAAATAGAGCTACATAGCTCAGTGGACATTACCTGGTGACATGAAAAATAGTAGTAGTAATATTGGATGATCATTATTAGAGCTGTCATGGACCCCCCCCGCCACCCCCCTCCAATTATCAACTTATGATTATTTTATATATTTGCATCGTTCATGCAAATTGCATCTCTCACAGTCGCAGAGGAGGAACCCCCATACCAAGCTGGAATGCTGCAAGGCGGTGAGCCGGCGGCGTTTGGCTACGTACGCTGCGAAAGAAGTTCAGCATACATGCAATTGCTCTGCAATTCTCTCTATATTAAGATGTTTTCAGCCACCTATTGAGTGTTTCTACACGTGGGAGGAAACCGCAGCAACCCGGAGAAGCCCCACGTTTCTAAGGGGGGGGGGTGGGGGCGGCAACAATTTATCCCACAAGCAGAAAGTTTCACAACATTGCCGCGTGGTGATCCGCTCACCCTCGCTGCCGCCTCCGCAGTGCGGGGGATCACAGGCGGCCACGTGCAGCGAGGCCACCACCGCGGCCCGGCTACAGACAGGCAGACGGTGGGCAGAGCTGACTCGTGACGCCGGAAAGCATTTGAAACGCGTGCGTTCAGTCAATCGCCTGACCTTCATCGTGATTGGTTGGCTACGGAGCATGAACCATCATCGCGCAAACTCCGGTCATCCTCACAGCAGTGGGTTTTTGCCTGACCGTCGAACCAAGACGGTCACCGCATCGCGCGTTCAGATGCGCTTCTGCGGCCGTCTGGAACGCTCTTCCTTCCCATATTAAGAAGCCACTGGGAGCTAAGCACTTTCAAATCTAAATTGAAACGACTCATTTCTTTAGAACTGCCTTTTTTCTGTTAGTTTTTTGTCCTTCCCCCACAACTCCGATCAGCACGGCTGAACACGTACGGTGCGGAAGAATTTAAACGTTCGCGAAGCTGAACGGGGAGGGAGGGGACAGGGAGGGGGGGCGGAAGTGATTTGGCACATCGCATCCCGGATAAACATTCTAGCGTCGAGGATCGCACGAGGAAAAAATAGCAGTGATGCGAGGCCGGGGCAGGGAAGAGCGTTGCGCCAGATATATTTAGGAACCTCTGCACCCCCCCCACCCTCTCCTGGGGCTACACCTGAACTATTGCCAAGCGGCGATGCCCCTTCATTGAAAGGGCGGAAAACGTAACACCTGGAACTAGAAAGTCTTGCGCGTTAAACCTGGAACTTGCGGGTCGTTTTGCCTCCGTGCGAGCAGCGGGGGAAGAAAATAAAATACTCCAAAAAAACCCACTCCCCCCCCTCCTCCCCCACGGGTAAGAGCCATTTGGGGATACTCCCAATTAGTGGGAATTGATTAGCGGGTAATTGTTACTGCGGTGGGAATGGCGGCTCCGCTGTTGACCTTGTCAAGCTCGTTCTGCGACAGGAAAGACTTGGGTGGTCAGGTGACAAGAGGCGATACGTTGCGCTTATCGGAGTCGTCATCATCGTCGTCCGCCACGGTCAAGCCACTGCTGGATCAAGGCCTCCTCAGCCAGGCTACTGCCGTCACGCTACCGCGACGTAACAATTCCGCCCGGCGCCTGCACACGATCCGATCGCGCCGCTCCATCTCCTCCTCGGTGGTCGCCCTCTCTCCCCATGCCTGAGACTAACTGCGTCGTTAGTCTCGGGCATGGGGAGGCCTTGGTCCAGCAGCGGGATAGATCATGCGTGATGATTCAATTGTGATTGGACCAGGAAGGTCTGAACCGGTGGTTCCTTTACTGCAGCCTTGCCATGGTGGTGAGATGTTAACTACCTCGCCTGGTATGCAGGAGGTCGTGGGTTCGATCCCGACCCTGACGATGCCTTCCGTGGTCACGTGGATTTTTCTCCGGGTCCTCCGTTTTTTTCCTCCACATTTAGTAATGTGCGTTGAGAAAATTTGGTTGCTATACATTTCCACGTGAAAAGCCACTTCGTTGGGCTATCCTTTGTGGGCAGGTCGCTTCTGAAAAGAAGCTAAATAGCTCAGTGGGCCTTACCTGGTCAAATAAAAATAGTTAAGTTAGTTAGTTGACCTGGGTGTCCAGTGGCTTGACCTGGGTGTCAGCTCTGTCGTTCTGCACTTAGTTTGGATGAATATATATTGTTTGATTGTTTTCTTTACTTTTTTTGTTTTACCAGGTAATGCCCTATTGAGCTATATAGCTCTTTTTCTAAAACGACCTGGCCACAAATGATAGCTCAACGAAGTGGCTTATCACGTGGAAATGTATAGCCACAACATTCTGAACGCACGTTGATTCTAAACATGCAAACTATGAAATATACAGGCGTCGTCAGGGTTGGGATCGAACCCACGACCTCCTGCATATCAGGCGAGGTAGTTATCATCGCCTAGCTACCGTGGCGCCCACGTATTTACAGTTGGTACCCACCGCAGTATTAACCAGGGCGGCCACCGGGCCCGACCCACAGACCTCTTCAACGAGCGGCAACACTCGCTAGCGCCCCGACGCGTCCACCGCCCTCCCGCCGGATTGTAACTGGGAGAAAACGAGATGGACGCTGAAAATGTCGTCATTGTCATCATCGTCATCATCGTCGTCGTCGTCGTCGTTGTTGTTGTTGCCGACTCTTGCAGTGGTGAGCGCCCGGCTGCGGGAGGTCAAGAAGTCGCTGCTGGGGTCACGTCCGTACGTCGAGCTGGTGGTCGATGGTCAGCCGGAGTCATCCAAGAAGACGGACAAAGTGAACAGCGTCACCCACCCGCGCTGGGATGAGCACTTCACCGTGTACGCAGCCCCCCCCCCTCCCCCCAAACTCCTGCCCCCCTCCCCCTCCCCCATTCGTACGGTTGCTCTCTCACCGTCGCGTCTTGCTCGCCATTGTGTGATCTTCTTCGATGTTTTTTATTATAAATTTTTGGAAAAAAAATTGTAACAAAAAATAATATTTCAGTAGGAGGCCCAGAGAGCGCAAGCTGTGTGACGTAGGGTTTCTCCGACGGTGTTGACGTCATCGGCATCGTCGGCATCGTCATCACAGTCGCGATCGTAGTCGTCATGGTAACCGTCATTCGCCATTCGTTACCTTCGTCTGACATGTGGCCCGCGTGGAAGAGTGGCCCAAAGTACCCTCTCTGGAGCCTCCCCTATTGGAGGCCCCTCCCGCCAGCAGTAGCATGAGCAACGATCAATTGCAGGGCCGCACCTTTATTACCAGTCTCTTCGTCATCGGCCGCGATCCTGCCCACCGTTGTCGCCCCGGTCGCTGCCGAGTGATTTCACCGTTGCGGCCGGCGTGCGTCCCCAGGCTCGTGACGCCGCACAGCAAGGTGGAGCTCCGGGTGTGGAACCACCACGCGCTGCGCTCGGACACGCTCGTCGGCAAGACCATCGTGGAAATCTACGAGGCGCTCAAGAGCAACGAGGGGAAACGTGCGTGCCACCCCCCCCCCGCTTACCGCAGAGTCTCCGTTCGTCAGTCGTCGCGTGTTTTTGTGATACATTTATTCGACGAGGCTGCTGCTGCGTTGGCGGCGGCGCACTTGGTGTAAATGACGGGCCCGTGCCCGCAGCTGCAGCAGCTGCAGTAGCTGCAGCAGCTGCAGCAGCTGCTGCAGCTGCAGCAGCTGCAGCAGCTGCAGCAGCTGCAGCAGCTGCAGCAGCTGCAGCAGCTGCAGCAGCTGCAGTAGCTGCAGCGCCTTTTGGCTCTGCAAAGACAGTGGTCAATGCCTCCCGCGTGCTTTCAGATGTGCTTCTGCGGACGTCTGGAACGCTGTCTCTTCCGATATTAGTAAGCCTCTGGAGCTATGCACTTTAAATCATCTAGTTTGAAAACTCATTTGTTTACATTTGCTTTTTTTGGTTGACTTAGTTGTCCTTCCCCCTCGCCCGCACCTCCGATTAGCACGGTTGGCTACGTACGGTGCGAAAGAAGTTCTACGTACATATACTCATCTGCCCAATCAGGCGCAATGTACGTTTTCATGTTTGTTTAGTTGAGCATGGTTAGAACTTTACGTTCAAATTCTTCGTAGGGGATTGTCACTTTGCCACCAGATCTTACGTAAATTGTTGGCGTTTATCTTCTTGGTTCTTTCGGTAAAGTCACGTAGAAGGGAAGTAATAAAATAATAAAACATAATAAAATAATTCTCACGACGGCTGCTTGCGTTGTGGCCGAAACGTCGTGAGAATTATTTTATTGTTTTATTTTTATTATCTTATTACTTCCCTTCTACGTGACTTTACCGAAAGAACCAAGAAGATGAATCCCTGCAGTCACGAAAGCTTTAAATCGAAATTTGTTGGCGTTTGTTTTGATTTGTCCCGAGATCCATAAAAACGTATTTTGCGATCAAACCGTCAACGCGTCGCGATCCGCCCGCGTATTATGATACACCCCCGTATTACGATCCGCACGCGCATCGGCCACCGCTTGGCTTCAACGTAACGGAACGGCCGGTTGCGACGAGCGATGGAGCGAGAGCTGGTTGTGCCGTGTGCGCGCCGGGGCGCAGTGGAGAACGTGACCTTGAAGCAGACGCTGCGCGGGGACGTCAAGGGTCGCGTGGGCGGCGAGTGCGGGGACCTGGAGATCTGCCTCGACGGGATGATCGTCAGCCTCGACGCGCTGCCCAACGGACGCCTCGTGCCCAACAGTGAGCCACCGCCTGCCACCGCCAACGCCGCTGTCATCGCCGCCACCCACAGACGATGCAGCTACCGCCACAGACGCTGCCGTCACTACCAGCAAAGAACAAAGATCCCCCGTTTTGCTTGAACAGACTTTTGGGGCACGTGCCGTTAGCGAACGCCTATGAAAGCCAGCACAGCACACGAGGGGGTGGGTGGCCCTTGCCTCGCCGTGTAATCGTTTGAGGCCGAGTCGACCTAGCGGAGGCCCAGGAACGGTTTGAATATTCGGCACTGTCATGGTGGTGCCGCGTGGGGTCGTCACGCTCGGTGTGTGTGTGTGTGGCGGTGGCGGCGCGTAGAGCCGATGCAGAACGGGGAGCTCGCGAGAGCGGACATCGGCGCCGGCGGTGGCGGTACGTCATCGTCTTCCGAAACGCCGGGCGACTCCACCGTGCCGGCCACCTCCCCCTCGTCGCCGCCAACCTCGTCCAGCGCTGCCAGGACCAGGCCGCGGTGAGTGCCGATCACCACATGGTGGGGGGGGCGGGGGCCTTCCGTCAAGAGAGTTGGGAGGAAATACCGGCTTCGCCTGAACCCCCAGGGATTGTGAATCCCGGCTAGTCACCCACGTGCCCCCAAGTTTTTATGAGGATCACGCTGACGGCGTCGCCTCGTCCAGAGACGGTGTTTCTATTTGGAGCTCTTGCAGGGCAGCGTCTGGGCCCTTCGTGTTGCAGAACAGCCCGCGGAAAGGATACCATAGAACTACTTCTGACCTCTGGTCCGCACAGTCAGGGGGGCAGCATGTTTCCCACCCGCCCTGCCGCCGAGAATAATGTTCGTCACTTGACGGTCAAACAGATGTATTTTTAATTCTCAGTGCTGAAATATCGGTGAATCTGACGCGTTAAACCAAATCTTAAGTTAAGGTTTTTTTCTTGCCGTTATTGGTGACCGGGCCGAGACCGTTGACTCTTGATGACCCGGCGTAATCACCAGACGGGCGCTAAAACACGGATCTCAGCGACGCCGACTCCAGCGATCTCACCTCTTTGAGCCACCCACTTCTACAGCCGCACCGAGCTACAGCCCCGTTGTTGCCACTCGGTGGCACACGATCGGTTCGGTGGGGTTGGTCCCTCGCGTCCCAATAGCAGGGTCGCAGAACTTGGGCAAATTGTTGCGGTTGGCGTGCCGGTCCTGGCCGCCCTCCTTCCCGCTTGCCTTTGATTTACCCGCACCACTGACCCGCTCTCTCTTTCAGAAACGGAATCTGAATATTTATTTGTACTCTCTCTCGGGGGAGCGAATGATAGCTGCGCGCGTTACAAATCCACACTTTGATTATTATCGACGGCAGGAGAAGCAGTCGCCGTAGGTGAATCGCCCGTTCCTGTCTTTGTCGATTTACTTGTGTGCCGCTCGGCGCGGGGGGGGGGGGGGGGGTGGCGGGTGGCGGGTGGGGCGGTCACTCGTACTCCGACGTCTCTCGACCGCGGCGCGTCTCGATCTTCTCCGCGGCGGGCGCAGGTCGCAGCTGGACGTTTCGGCCACGAGCGGCGGCGGAGGGGCAGCGGACGAAACGGTCGCACCGTCGACACCCGGCGCCACGGGCCTGGCCACAACCTCCACGGCCGCGGCCTCCCCCTCCACGCTCGCAAACAAACTCAGGAAGCCTCCTCGGCCGACGAGCATCCCGTGTAATGGTGAGCCGCCACTAACCCCCACCCCCCCTCTGTTTTTTTTCCCACTGGCACAAACCAAGACACGCCGAGCAGTTGGCTCGCGAGTGGTCGGGTCGTTTCTCCACCGCGGAAGCCGAGCCGAGCCGTGCCGAGCCGTGCCGTGCCGTGCCGCCGATGTCACGTGTGCAGCGGTGAACGAGTCGAGAAAGTCGCGTAGATTTTTCTCCGGGTCCTCCCAGCTTTTTCCCTCTGCATTTACAATCAACGTCACGCGTATTTAGCTATTGTACATTTCCACCTGATGATGATAAGCCGTTCTAGATTTGAAGCTTTCGTGACTGCAAGGATTCATACTCTTAGTTCTTTCGGTAAAGTCACGTAGGTAAAAAATTTAAATGAAAATTAATAAAAACTAAAAATAATAAAATCACGACGTTTCGGAGGCAACACAAGCTTCCATCTTCAGGTGAAACTGTCACAGCAAAAAATCTCTATCAAGTGGAGAGAAGTCCCAAAAGGTACGACCTTATATACTGGTTAAGGGGGGAGGAGCCAGGAAGGGCCGCCGGAGAGGAGGAGTTGTGAGGTGGTCAGTACTGCTGCTGAAAATGAGCCTTTGTAATGCAGATGGCATATGTAGATAAGCCAGCTATGATTAAGCCGCCTTTTGTTATGCTGCTGGATGATAAGCCGCTTCGTTGAGCTATCATTTCTGGCCAGGTCACTCATGCATAACCGCTATATGGCTCAAACAGTTTAGTTTAAAATAAAATAGTTTCGTTTTTAGTTTCCTTCGTCTTAGGGGACCACCCACAGAAGCGGATATCAGAGTTGCCTCTGAGTGAGATCACGATATGTATTATTCTATCCCGGCACTGGAGGGGCAGCACTTTTCCCACTGGCTCAGCATTTTGAGAGTGAGATTCATTGCGTGTGACGGTCAACCTGACGTTTATTTTATATTTCTCAGAGCTGGAATTGAGGAAATGTAAGATTCGGAACTAATTTTAATGCTTCTCCGCTTGGTCATTGGTGAGCAGGCTGGGAAGCAGATTCAATCGCAGTTCGGTCTTTGTGCGAGTCTGTGGGTCTCCGTGTCAGTCAATCATGGCCATGCAAAGACCATCCACTCTGTTTGACCTCAGGCAGTGGCTGAAACCCAGATTCAGACCCAGCACCTCTGCCGCACAGGCTCAGTGCTCCGAGGCCTCCTCTCAAGCTTCTACTGTTTGTGCCCCCTGCCCTCCGCGCCGGCTTCCAGTTAACGGCGACGCCGCGTCTCCCCCATCGTCGTCGTCCACTTCCTCTGCGCAAGCCGCAGCTTCGGCGGCGACGGATGCGCAGCAAGCGGCAACGCCCTCCGGCGCGCCGGTGGCGTCTGCGGCATCGGTGGCGGCTGCCGTCTCGGCGGGCGCCGTCTTGGGGCCGCCAACCTCTCCCCCGACGCTCGCCGCCGACCAGCAGGGGCCGTCGCCGCCGCTGGCGCCGTCGCCGGCACCGCCGCCGCCGGCGCTGCCGCTTCAGCCGCCACCGCACACCGCCGGCTCCTCGTCGGATGCAGACGGCGCCCCGAACTCGGAGGCCGGGCCGCCACCGCCGCCGCCGCCAATACAGGCCGACGGCTGCCCCGTGGGGGAGATGCAGAGTCCCGAAGTTTGCCAAGGCCCTCTGCCGGCCAAGTGCGTTGAATCAGAATCTTCATTCATCCCGGAAGAATCCGATGAGCTATGAAGCTCGATTTCATGATAGTGTTTTTTTGGGTTAGATCGGGTAAATAATTTTTCAATTAAATTATGGATGATGTTGGTCGCGGAAGTCTGCGTGTTAAGCTCGATTTCGCGGATGTCCAGCAGTTGAGATCGTTGTGCGTGGTGCCTTCGGCACAGGAGGGGGTGGGGGGTTGTGAGGTTAACAGCAAAAGTTTTGCGTGATGTGGCGATGCTGGGACATGGCTTGCGCTATGAGGGACGCTGCCACCGTGGTGTCGATGGTTAGCGGCCCACAACGGCGCAAGTTGCTTAAATACCCCCGCAGCCCCCCCCCCTTCCCCAACTGTCCCTGTGTCCACCCAGCGGTGTAAATGGATACAACCGCAGTTCGGTAGATTGGCAGGTCGTGTGCGAGTGGAGTGAAGTGTGATTAATGTGACCTCTTACGAGACGTCAGGCCAGCGTGGAAGAGTAGGCCCAAAACAGTCTCGGGAGGGTCCTTCTAGAGAGGCTCTACTTTTGTGGGGATGCCCTTCTTCCGCGAGCAGTGGCCTCTATGTATGGACATATGTTGAACTTCTTTCATGCCGTACGTAGCCAACCGTGCTAATGCGTGAAATGCAAGTCCGGAAGCGATGCAACCGGCCCTCTAACTCTGTCGACGTGGTGGCTAATGCGTGTGTGTGGCAGCTGGGAGCAGAGGACAGACCCTCACGGGAGGACGTATTACGTGGACCACAACACCCGCACCACCACGTGGGAGAGGCCGCAACCACTGCCGCTTGGGTGAGTGACAGCGATTTGTGATTTTTTTTTTTTACAGAGACCGCCGCCGCCGCTCTCCTCCACTCACTCCAACATTGCACCACCCCACCCCCAGCGGCAGCTGTCCCTGTGTGGCACACGGTGGATTCTGGCACCTGGCCTCGCGAAACGAGCAGTATTCTGCCAGAGCAGGGGGCGATGATTGCTGCCCAATTTTCTGGCAACGTTGCAATCCCAACGAAATAATCCCTAAAAATAAATCGTTCATTCACACAGTCGAGTGAGTCAGAGCAGCCCACGATACAACGGCTGCGTAAATCAATTCAGAAATACGTGAAAAAATATATAGGGGAAAGGTGGTAAGGGCTCCAATACAATGCCAGAGGGGGGGAGGGAAGAGGTGGGGGGTCAGATACTGCCGTTATAAACAACGAAATGCAACACGTAGGTTTTCGCGACCAATATTATTCATAATCAACGTTTTTGGGTTAGATCGTGTTATTTATAAATGTGTCGTAACCCTCCACCACCTGACACGGTCAATCAGCAAAAAAAGTGTCACGTTGACAAAAGACAAATATTTCACTACTTTAGCAGTGACCGGGAGCAAGAGTAGAGCCTCACCATTCTGGGGAATTGCCCGATGATGCTGGATGCAATTACCAGCGAAACGTCGTGCTACTCAAAAAATTGTTAATGTTGTGGTTTCACGCTTCAACACACCGGTGGGCTAAAGCAGTGAACTATTTTGTCTTTTGTCAACGGGACACTTTGTTTGCTGATTGGCCGTGTCGGGTGGTGGAGGGTTACGACACATTTATAAATAACGCAGCGATCTAACCCAAAAACGTTGATTATGAACGAAATGCAAACCCGCGCACGTCGCAAGAGCTTACGCGACGACCTTTTGACCCGCTCCGCCATATACCGTCACCGCCGATGCCCGCAGGTGGGAGCGGCGCGTGGACCCGCGGGGACGCGTGTACTACGTGGACCACAACACGCGCACTACCACGTGGCAGCGTCCCACCATGGAGTCGGTGCGCAACTTCGAGCAGTGGCAGATCCAGCGCAACCAGCTGCAGGGTGCCATGCAGCAGTTCAACCAGCGCTACCTCTACCAGGTGGGGGTTCGGTGGGGGGGGGGGGTCCCGGTCATCGGTTGAAATTTTTGTCGTCTTGTTTTAAATGCCTTCTCTAAGATTGACGGTGTCGGTGTGTTGTTTTTAGCGCTGTCGGGCCCCGTCTGTGTGTCTGTCCGTCCGTCTCTCTTGTCCGTGACTTGGGCTCACGATAACGGTCGTGCAGACGATACGATACGAATGAAACGTAGGGATCGACCTTGATGAAAAAATATAAGTACGGCCTGCTCTCCTGTAACGCGTTATCATGAATAACATGTCATGTAGGGTAAAACACAGTCCGCGATAACACGTGAGATGCGTACGCAGGCTGAACAAAGACTGAGGCACGTGGGTAGCATCTAGAAGTATCGATCGCGTTGTGTACAGTCCGTATCCGCGTTGTTATAAAAAACGTGTTCCGTGATGCACTCGTCGCGTTATATCCACATCGCGCTGTGAAAACAACACGCGTTGCAGGAGAACAAGGCCGCAAGTCAAAAATAAATAAAAACACACGAAATATCTTGACTTAAAGCTTTCGTGACTGCAGGAATTCATATTCTTTGCGTCTTTCGGTAGAGTCACGTAGATAGGTTCAAAGAAAATAACCAAAAATTACAAAAAACATCGACTTTTCGATCGCAACACAAGCGTTCGTCATCAGGAACGCTTGTGTTGCGATCAAAACATCGTCGTTTTTTTGTTGTTTTTTGTTATTTTATTTGAACCTCTCTTCGTGACTTTACCGAAAGACCCAAAGAATCCGCACAAAAAAATTGACAAAATTAACGGTCAAAGGTTTTCCCCAAAGCTTTGCGATTTTTAAAGAAACGGGTCAGCCCCCTACACGTGCCCGCGGCCGCCTCTCGCCCTGCCGCTCGTGAAACCAACGTCGTTCGCCGCCGCCGATGAAAACGCTTCACCGCGGACGAACTCTCGGCGTCGCGCGAGCGCTCGCGGTGTCCGCCCGTGCGTGCGTGCGGGACCTCCCCCCACCACCCACCCACCCCTCCTCCCCCGCTGTATTGTTGAGCGTGCGCTCCGTTGTTGTTGTGTGCGCAGACCGCCACTGCTGCGGCTGAGAATGACCCCCTGGGTGCCCTGCCCGGAGGCTGGGGTAAGTTGAACCCCGACTTCTCAACAACAACAACAACAAAAACACCGCATTCAATAAATAACTAGAGATCTCACCACGTTCAGAATTTTACAACAAAGTAGCAAAAGCGATTTCCTGCTCAAATGAGCATCGCGGCGGTGCTCGCCCCCTGTTCTTACAGCCCCTTCTCCACGAGAGGGGTAACTTTTATTTGCTGCGCAGAGTGGAAATTTTATTAGTGATTTTATCGACTTTACATGGATAGTGGGGCTGGGTCAACCCCACCGACCAGGGATCGCAAGCCGCTCGCACCACCTCTTAGCCACCCGGCAGGATCTTAATTTTAACGCTGCCTCTTAACGGGAAAACGAACGAACACACACACGCACGTAAGAACTTCGCGTGCGAGATCCTCACGTGTGCGGTCATCGAGACGGAACGTGGCACCCACGGGTCCCCGCGAGGTGGCAGGAGCGTGGGGGCGAGGCTGTCGTTCTGCAGCGGATCGAGCATCGTTGATCATGATGGAATATTTCAGGAATTCGCCGTCTTCACAGCTGAAGGCCCCCTTGGTTGAACTTCTGCCTGGCACCTTGCGGCTGCAACGGCCAGAATTCAGATTTAATGACGATAACAATAATGTAGTGGAGTAGCGGACGCAGTGGTTAACGCACCGTGCTATGACCCAGGCGACCTGAGTTAGATTCCTGGCTACGGCTAACGGTAATGAGTGAAGAGCATTGTTCTTCTTGGTTCTTTCGGTAAAGTCACGTAGAAGGGAAGTAATAAAATAATAAAAATAAAACATAATAAAATAATTCTCACGACGTTTCGGCCACAACGCAAGCAGCTGTCCTCAGGTGAAGAACATGTCTGTCGATAAGACAGAGTCTAAAAAAAAAAAAACTCTGTCTTATCGACAGACATGTTCTTCACCTGAGGACGGACGGCTGCTTGCGTTGTGGCCGAAACATCGTGAGAATTATTTTATTATGTTTTATTTTTATTATTTTATTACTTCCCTTCTACGTGACTTTACCGAAAGAACCAAGAAGATGAATCCCTGCAGTCACGAAAGCTTTAAATCGAAATTTGAAGAGCATTGGTCGCGGGTCGACGTGTTTTTTTTTTTACCCATAATCGACAGTCCACCACGATGGCCAGTGCGGGTTTGCGAAAGCAGCGGCTTGCCGTGCCTAGGAACCCGTTCAGATATCACACGCCGCTCAAGTTAAGCTGTGGCCCGGAATCAAACTCTGCTCACCCGGGGGGGTTGGCAGCGCTGTGGCGCTAACCGACTAGCGTCCGGCGCGTTTGGCTACGTACGGTGCGAAAGGAGTTCACCAACGTACATGCACGTAACCGCCTCGCACCGTCAAAAATGTGGAAATTTCCGACCACACCGACGGCTGGACGGAGTGACCACCGACGGCTCGTTTGGGCGGCGGCGCGAACGATACGAGTCGTCGTAGTCGTCGCGCCCGCGTCTCTCAACGACGATGATGACGTCGCCGCTTGTCGACTGTCCCCCCTGCCTCCTGTGCCGTTGCCGCCCGCAGAGAAGAGGGTGGAGCAGAACGGCAGGGTCTACTTCGTCAACCACAACACACGCACTACGCAGTGGGAGGACCCTCGGACACAGGGGTAGGCTGACGCCCCCCCACCCCTCCCCACGATCCCCCCCCCCACCACCCCTCTAGAAAACCGTCCTCTCGGATGTTGCGTTAGGTCATGGGTCCAATATACATTCCAGCGTTGTTACGATTATTATTTTCCGATATTAGGAAGCCACTGGAACTTATGCATTTTTTAATCTTAAATAGAATTTTTTTTTATTTAGAACTGCTTTTTCTCTTTAGGTGTCCTCCCGCCGCACCCCCGATTAACACAGTTGGCTACGTACGGTATGAAAGACGTTCAACATACAAACGTACAGCGTCATTGTGTTTTGGGCGTTATTTTGGTCTTTTTTTTCCCCCCCCAAATGTAATCCCCGTCGTGCGCTGTCGGCTTCGCGTCTTGCCCGCGGGGATACCCGTTGGGATCTCTCGCAGTAGAGCGATGCCGACGTCAGACCCGAGTCGTCGACTTCGGCCACGGCAGTGGCAGTAGTGGCAGCGATGGAAGAGCAAAGCGCAGGCCACCGACCGCCGGTGGGCGAGTGGCCGGAGCGAATCGGTGGATTCGTCGGTCAACCTGGGCCGCTTTTACGTCCCTGGGTAGGGGCGGCAATTCGATACGGCGTGGATATTTATAAAAGTCTAAATGTGACCGGGAACTCAAGACGCGCCGCGTAGGATGCTGCGAACCGCGGGGTCGTCGGTGGAAGTGGCGGCACGTTGAAGTCCGTTTGTGCGTTTTAATTTTAGGCCGTGGTTTAGGGTTGGAAGCCGGTGGGCGCAATGAAACGCCCGTTGGGTTTGCAACAACAAGTTCTTAGGAACAGAGTTTGTACGCAGCATTGTCAAACGACTTGCGCTACAGCAGAATATTTGGCAGACGAGCAGTGTCTGCCTAGGGCAGTGTCCACCAACATGTTTATTCTCACATTGCATATATGTTTCACATCACACTCGTTTTCTCTCTATCGAAGCCCTTCAACTGCATTTTTCTCATCAAAAGCTACCATCGGGACCTTGCTATCATACCCATTTGTGATCCGGAGATGACCTGTTTCAAGAAAATCATTGTTAGCAAATATCACCCTGAGAGGTACCAATCAGCCGTTCCCGGGCCAGTGGCTCAAGGCTTTGAGAGAGACAGCCCTGTCCCCTGCCCTGCAGGATCGTGAACGAGGAGCCGCTGCCCGAGGGATGGGAGATGCGCTACACAAACGAGGGCGTCCGCTACTTTGTGGACCACAACACGCGCACCACCACCTTCCAGGACCCCCGGCCTGGCGCCAAGGCTTCTGGGTGAGCTGCCTTGCGCTGCTGTTTCCGCCACCACCACCACCATAAAACCACCACCACAAATCAACCACCGCAATCATCATCATTCTCATAATCATCACCACCACCTTCTAGGCACCAAAGGTTTCTGAGTAAGCTTCTTGCGCTGCTGCTACTGCTGCTGCTACTGCTGCTGCCACCACCACCATAAAACCACCACCACAAATCAACCACCGCAATCATCATCATTCTCATAATCATCACCACCACCTTCTAGGTACCAAAGGTTTCTGAGTAAGCTTCTTGCGCTGCTGTTACTGCTGCTGCTACTGCTGCTGCCACCACCACCACCATAAAACCACCACCACAAATCAACCACCGCAATCATCATCATTCTCATAATCATTACCACCACCTTCTAGGCACCAAAGGTTTCTGTGTAAGCTTCCTGCGCTGCTGCTACTGCTGCTGCTACTGCTGCTGCCACCACCATAAAACCACCATCACAATCATCATCATTCTCATCATCACTATCACCACCTTCTAGGACCGCAGCATGGTGCGTAGGCTTCTCGGTGAGTTGCATGCGCTGCTGCTGCTTTCACCACTGCCAGCATAAAAGCCACTACTATTTGTACCAATGTCATCACCCCCACCACCACTATCATTATCATCACCACCACTGCCACCACCACCACCACCACTGCCATCATCTTCGCCAACACCACCGTCATCATTGTAGGAGCCGCGGGCAATAGAGTAGTTGGTAAGAGGAGCTCTCCTCTGCTGTGTATACGCCGTAGAACGTATAGAATGTATCTGGCAACAAGTGCGCCTTTTGGCGTCATCTGGTCCAACCCATGTGAGACTAGGCTCTAAGGAAAGCTGTCTCGGGTGTGGACCAATCAACTTCAAGGACAGTGCACATTATCAGTTATGTTTTTTGTTTGCATTATGACTGCAGGTATTATGGTCTATGTAAACATGACTCCTTGTAAAAAAAGGTGTCAGTTTTGTTGCCAGATAGAAGGGTAAAAAAAAACAATAAAAAACAATAATCATATTTTTTACTGGCAAATGAGGTTCCAATGGTATATAGAATGTATATAACGGGATCTGCCGTTCGTTGACAGGACCAAGGGCGCCTATGGGGTGCCCATCGCTTACGAGCGCAGCTTCCGGTGGAAGTTGGGGCAGTTTCGCTACCTGTGCCAGGTGAGAGCGTGCAGCGTCGTGACGACCGTGCGTTTTTTGCTCGCTCTGTCGTTTCAAAACTCTTACGTCTGCACGAACCGAGACCCCCGTTGTCTGACTTTGTTCGGCTGTACCACGCGAAGTGACGTCACTTTTAGCGGTTTCAATTTCTCTACGTTGGCCAACAGTGGTGAATTGTGTAACCCTAAGCGTTTGAAATGAGTGGGATAAAAATACCGCTCTACCCGACCTGTTAATGCTTTCAATACTTGCATTTCCATTGTATGGTAAAACCTTGGATTGCGAGCATAATTCGTTCTGGAAACGTGTTTGTAATCCAAAGCACTCGTATATCAGTTGTGATCACGTGACGCTCGGCAGACAAAGCGTATGCACGTACTACTCGTATTGCAAGACCTCGCTCGTTTATCAAATTAATATTTATTTAAACATTTTGCTCGTCTTGCAAAACACTCGCAGACCAAGTTACTCGCAATCCAAGGTTTTGCTGGACTGTTCGTCTTCCTTTCGCCTAAGTCCAACATGCGAATTTCTTAAAAACTGCTTTTTTGTGTTTAGTTTTTTTGTCCTTCCCCCGCACCTCTGATTATTAGCATGTTGGGCTACGTACGGTGCGAAAGAAGTTCAACCAACGTAGATTTTTGACGTCGTTCTCTTCGTCTAACACTGAGACAAGACCATGGCGACGGCTGTCTCTTGTGGTTAATGCACTAACACGATTCCTTGTAAAAGGTTTCAGTTTGGTGTTTTAACATCTTAACACAGCTGTTTTGTTGCCAGGGAAAACCTATTCTCATATTTTGGTACTGGCAAAGGAGGTCCCATGATGGTTGTTTGTAATCATGTTCTTGTCGTGTATGCATGCATGTACGTTGAACCTCTTTCGCACCGTACGTAGCCAACCGTGCTGATCGGAGGTGCGGGGAAAGGACAGCAACCTAAGCACAAAAAGCAGTTCGAAACAAATGTGTGTCCGATCTAATTTTAAAAGCGCATACGCTCCAATGGCTTCCTGAAATCGGAAGGAAGAGCATTCCAGGCGGCCGCAAAAGCGCATCTGAAAGCGCCGTGCGACGCGATGACCAGCTGGTGGGGAAGGACAACAACAATGTGTTTTTCATGGCGGTGATCTTGTTGTGTACCCTGCTGTGTCCGTAATACGACGTTATTCATAAGAATGTTATTAAATCACGACGTCTCGGAAGCAACACAAGCTTCCGTCATCAGGTGGGACAACCACAGTACAGGGAAATAATAAAATAATAAAAATATAACATAATAAGATAAAATTTTCACGACGCTTCGGCCATAACGCAAGCAGCCGTCCTCAGGTGAAGAAACAGAGCTGTCACCTGAGGACGGCTGCTTGCGTTGTGGCCGAAACGTCGTGAGAATTTGATCCTATTATGTTTAATTTTTATTATTTTATTATTTTCCTTCTACGTGACTTTACCGAAAGAACCAAGAATATGAACCACTGGAGCTATGCACTTTTAAATCATCTCGGTTGACAAACTCATTTCTTTAGAACAGATTTTTGCGTTCAGTTTGTTGTCCTTCCCCCGCACCTCCGATGAGCAATGTTGGCTACGTACGGTGCGAAAGAAGTTCAACGTACGTACATAGTTGGTCTAGATTTGAAGCTTTCCTGACCGCAAGGATTCATACTCTTAGTTCTTTCGGTAAAGTCACGTAGGTAAAAAATGAAATTAAAATTAATAAAAATAAAATAAAAATCACGACGTTTCGGAGGCAACACAAGTCTCCGTCATCAGGTGGGACCATCACAGCCAGATTTGTTGCATCAAGTGATACCGTCACAGCTAGATTTACTGCATCAAGTGATGCAGCAAATCTGGCTGTGACGGTCCCACCTGATGACGGAGACTTGTGTTGCCTCCGAAACGTCGTGATTTTATTTTTATTAATTTTAATTTCATTTTTTACCTACGTGACTTTACCGAAAGAACTAAGAGTACATAGTTGTTATTATCTACATGTGAAGTGTTTTTTTTTCTTGGTTCTTTCGGTAAAGTCACGTAGAAGGAAAATAATAAAATAATAAAAATAAAACATAATAAAATAATTCTCACGACGTTTCGGCCACAACGCAAGCAGCCGTCTTCAGGTGGAGAACAGGTCTGTCAAGTAGACAGACCTGTTCTCCAACGTCGTGAGAATTATTTTATTATGTTTTATTTTTATTATTTTATTATTTTCCTTCTACGTGACTTTACTGAAAGAACCAAGAAGATGAATCCCTGCAGTCACGAAATCTTTAAATCGAAATGTGAAGTGTTCTTAGTCTTTTTCTAATAGATTGTATCTGCTTGTAAGTTGTGACACTGTGGCTGCTTCTCTCCCCTGTGGTTTTAGAGCAACGCTTTACCCGGGCATGTGAAGATCAGCGTGACGAGACAGACGCTCTTCGAAGACTCTTTCCAGCAGGTGCAGTACGAGAATATCATCGTTAGCTGGTGGCGCGGTGGTGAGATGTTCACTCCCTCGCCTAGTATGCAGGAGGTCGTGCGTTCAATCCCGACCCTTGATGCCTGCTGTATATTTGGAGTTTGCATGTGTCTCTCTCTCGTGATTGCGTAGGTTTTTCTCCCCCTCCACACTTAGATTCAACGTGCGTTTAGCGTATTTGGCTGCTGTAACCTACCACACGATGAGAAGCCGCTTCGTTGAGCTATCATTTGTGACCAAGGTTCTGAGAAAGAGCTGTATAGCTCAGCGGCCCTTACCTGGTAAAATAAAAACTAATTTTTGTTGGGTTTTAGATCTCGAAAAACTCCACTCCTGTGAGTGTCGTGGTGGCGTAGTACCCCGGGCTCGCCAGGAGATGGCAGTGCAGTAAAAAATGTGGACTTGATAATTGGTTTTTTACCCTTCTATCTGGCAACAAAACTGTCAGGCAAATGAGGTTCCAATGGTGGAATAATACATCACTCCGCAAATCACTCTGCTGGGAAGTACGTACGGCAGTTGTTGCCCTCCTGTAATTTCGCGTGACCCTCCTGAGTGATCGGTGAGCTCCTTGGCAAACAAGCGTAATAATCCATAATAGGGGGGGGGGGGACATTTTTTTGGGTCAGATCGCGTAAATATGAATGCGTCGTTAAACCCGCCACCACCCGACACGGCCAATCAGTAAGGTTTGTCACGTAAACGAAACGCGCCAATTCGTTACTAGTACAGCACACCGGTGTGTTGGAGAGTAAACCTCACTCTCGAACCCAACAAACCAAAAACTCTTATGTGTAATATTTGACGCGAAAGCCTACGTGTTAAAGCATATGTAATGAGAATTTTACGTCCCAGTATTTATATCGGGGGGAGGAGAGGAGGGAGGTTGGATACCGTTAGCGATCGTTTTATATTGCATCACGCACAATTTGAATGCTGTCTTTTTTAAAATTAATTTTTCTCTTCTTGGTTCTTTCGGTAAAGTCACGTAGAAGGGAAATAATAAAATAAATAAAATGAAACATTATACTATCAGATAATTCTTTTATTATGTGTTGAGAAATAATACAATAATAACAATAAAACATAGTAAAATAAATCTCTTATTTTAGATTGTTTTCTTTTTATTATTTTATTACTTCCCAACTACGTGACTTTACCGAAAGAACCAAGAAGATGAATCCCTGCAGTCACGAAAGCCTTACATCGAAATTTAATATTTCTCGCTCGCCGCTTCTGCCAAGATCCGGTCCCGTCCTGCGTTGGTGCCTCCGCCACCGTTGTTGTTGTTTTGTTGTTGTTGTTGTTGTTGACGGACAATCCGGCGGCCTTTGCGGGCTTTCGGCCAAACTTGCGGAAGCCCAATTTCCCCTTTCCCCCCCCCCCCGTCCGTTTCTGTCCGTGCGCGCTCCGCGTTCACGCGCGTAGAACGAAACCGGTCGTACGATAAAACTCGGGGACGGCGCTGCTGGGGGGTGCGTGACCTCGCTAATTCAAGCCCGAGGTGGCGGGGGGTGTGAACTGCAGACAATGAAGGCTTTGGTTCTTTTCTTCGGCACGCCGATTTAAAAGTTGATGAGAGCGTAAAGCTGAAATAATTTGTACGACGCTTACAAGGATTCTTTGCTCCCTAAAAAGAAAAAAATAAGTGCCCGACGTGAATACGAACAAACTGTGCTTTTATAAAAAAATAATACTAAATGTTTTTGTATAAATGAATCGATGGATTTGAGTGCCTGGGTTGAGATCCTGGTTTTCTGGCCAGCTGTGGTTGAACCGCTGTTCTCAGCCGATGCCAAGTGGACAGCGGTGTCCACCAGGACAATGCCGCGCAGCTGCGTGCAGGAGAATAGAACCGTTCGATTTTAAATTGAGCCCTCATTCAAAAATAAAGTAGTTTATTGATTTAGTTATTTGTATTGTATATAATTGCAATGATTTAATTGTGTCGTACAGAGTTGTGTTTTTTCTCTCTTTCTCTTATAATGTAAGGGTCGTAGTATCTATCTTCTCTTTCGTTTGGCTGCAGCGCCTGAAGATGCGGTCGCAAATGTAGATGCGAGACACGAATCAACAATTGTAATTGTAGCAATTGGCGGGTCGTCCGTATGTACATATATGCACGTATGTTGAACTTTTTTCGCACAGTACGTAGCCAACCGTGCTAATCGGGAGGTGCGGGCAAATCGTCGGTGCCGTTTGGGGAGTGGGGGGCGGCGGTCAGTCGTGTGCGCTAATCGGCTGGTGAGTGTGACGTCACTTTGTTCCCGTCTCAAATGTTTCCACTAAGATCATGGCCATGAAGCCCTACGACTTGCGGAGGAGGCTCTACATCATCTTCCGCGGGGAGGAAGGCCTGGACTACGGAGGCCTTGCCAGGTGCGTGTGCGTTGGTCCAACAACAACAAAAAAAGCAATAGGCTTTTTAACCCTTCTGGCAATAAATACGGGAGGTGTTAACCCTTGAACCGTTCCGACCGAGACGTCTGCAAGTTGCAGGGTTCGGGGTTTCCCGTTCACCGCTGAATCTCGCACACCGCGAGGGGC